GCAAGAATAGTTAAATTTAATTTTTTAATATTTAAGAATTTTAAAAGAGAAAAATAAATATATATAAACAACCTCGGACGACTCCTTTCATTAAGTTGGCTGTTCTAATAAAAGAACTGGGCTTTGAGCCACCACTTAATTGCTAGAATCTATCCGTTCGCGAATATGGTTTGTCTTCTTGCTCATTTATTTATAATATCAAAGTATCGATATATCGAAATTAATCGCAATTAGATAAACTAAATACGAAGCAATGCATGTAAGACATTTATTACATGCTTTTGTGGACGAAAACGAGTAAATTAATGGTCGATCTCACCACTACTAACCACGATCAAAATACGTAATAAAAAAGAAAGTGCATTAATTATTTGCATTATTTATTAAATGTATTTAACCGATGAGACAAGAAAACCTATCCTGAACTAATATAAAATATACAATACAATATACACAATGCAAATATACAATTTTCATGAATAACTCCTAGAAAGGAATTACTCATGTGCTCGTCACTAATTTATTGAAATAATTACAACCAGTAACTCGTGCCGATTAGGACCTTTCATGCTCGGCATGATTGAGCACTGGAGGGACTTTAAATTTTTTGACTCACTACGTAAGAAGTTCTACGATGGCTCCAAAACACTCCTACTTTGCAGCAAGTATTGAAGAAGATCAATCGAAGATCCATCGATGATCCATCGATGATCCATCGAAGAATTCATCCCACATCTTTAATAAGGTAGAAAGTCCGTCTTCATATYTGTAAAATAAAATAGAACAAAACGATAAGTTATCTGCAATATGATCTAAAATCATATGAAATAAAATCGAATAAAATGTTAATAAAAATGAATACTTACAATGCATTCCAATGGGATGCAGCTCAATTGCACCATGGCGATGCACCTCTCGTGAATCTAAAAACGCGATTTTAACGAAAATAAGAAACTATAGATGAGTTTCTTATCGCGAAACCGGAATTAAATTATACGACGAAAAACACTGAATCTAATTCGCGTTTGATTTGAATTTGTTTTACGCCCGTTCACTGACTACAACTAATTCAAAGACTGCTTTGCACACAGTCTATTGAAAAAAAAAACAAATTTCACACTTTATTTTAATCCCGAAACGCGTTGAATTTAAAATCTTCATTGATGCACTGACTCTAATACGCGAACAGTCTGTGCGACTGTTTAAAGATAAAAATACAAATTTACTCGAACAAACTCTAATGCAATTACACTGCATTGGTCGCAGTTAATTTAATATATAAATTTCAAAAATAGTTCGCGAACGCGACGGA